TCCATACACTCCTCACTGTTAGCAAATTTGTACCTACTTTGTTCAGAAAATTGAGTTGTACTGGGGCTGGAGATTCTTTGTAATACTCAGGTGCAGGAAATGTCATATAGCACAGCTTTGTTGTTGTTGTTGTTCATTGTTAATTCAAGTTTTAAATTCTCCTTCCAGAGTGTGGCCAGGGTCAGTAGCAGTCATTATTGGTGGTCCTGCTCTCCAGGGGCAGTCAGGCATCCTTGGAGGATTGCTCAGTGCAGAAGATTCTAGGAGAGACCCCTTTTCTCCAGCCTATCACAGTCACTGCTTAGTTGTTTATTGTCTGGGCCAGAAAGGTCCATTTAATGGCTGGAGGTTGTATTCCTAAGCCTGCCCACCCACCTCCATCCTTAGTGCAACTTGGGTGCGGTGGCCTGAATCCCACGACTGGGAAACTCAAGACCTTTCATATCCATAAGCCACCCCATCAGAGGTCCTGCTGTCTTCAGGGAACTGTATTGGAAGGGCCTGGCTTTCAGCCTTGTGCACAACTTGCTACCACTGGCCCCTTTCTCTTTTCCAGATAAGTCACCACCATGGTCCTGTCATTCACTTCCTTCAACTACAATGCCACTTCCTCAGGTATGAATATAGCCACACAGTAGGCATAGTAGTGACTATTTGTAGAATCCCAATTGAATAACCACTTCAATCAAAACCTGGGTTGGAGCTGCTACCTCAGTGTCCCAGAAACTCATTTTTCACCCAGAAGCGCAAAAGTGATCCTCACCCTTGGAGGCAAGATCAGGAGCTCACAATACAAAGGCCTTGTTCACTCACTGGAGACTCTGCTACAGTATAAATGCAATATTAAAAATGATATCTCGATCCATTATCCTGCTAAAGAGGCAAATAGCACGAGCTCTTTCCATTTCTTGCCTCCCCCATTCCTACAAACAGAGCTCCACTCACACCCTGGATTATCTTTCTGCAGTTTCAGAAGATGCAGTGTCTCCTTTTGTTCCAGGCTGACTCCAGCTACACATGCCAAGAGCAGGCTCCACAGCCATCCTCCCTCTTGAAACATCCACCTTTCCTCTTGCAGGGGTGCGTTCTCTTCAGACTACAAACTTACTCATCTCCTTCCCATTCATTAAAAAAGAAATCTACCTTTGATCCCCATGTCCTCTTAGTAATGTCCTATCTCTTCTTCTATTTCATCCAAACATCTTTAAAGAGTTACCTATATTCAATGTGCACATGACCACTTCACGGGCCATTCACCCTGTACCCCCTGCAATCTGGCTTCTGCTTTTGATAAAGCCACCCATATTCTAGCTGGAAAATCCAGTGGACAGTTTCCAATCTTTTTCTCACTGTATGTTTCTGAGGCATTTGACCATGTTGCTTGTGTGCACCACTCACCGTCCATGATAGTCATGTTATACTCTCAGTTGGCCTCATTTGTTTCTGTTCTTTCTCAACCGTGGGCCCCTCTCCCTCCACCCACCACCTACACGCCGGGGTTACCCACCTGTCTGTTTTAGCCTAGTGCTCTTCTCATTACTGATACTCTTCTTGGACGGATTTTTCTACACTCAGGATTTCAGCTACCACCTGTATGGTAATGACTCTCTAATTTAATCTCCGTCACCAATTTCTCCCCCAATCTTTAGGCTCACCAATTCCATCACCTGCTAGGCAGCTTTGCTTGGGCATTCTTCAGACATTTCAGATTCAATTGCTCAAAAGCTACACATATTGCTTCCCTCTAACCTAAACCTCTATTTTTCGTGTTACCTTCTCTTTGCCCAGTGACAAAAGTTATCAAATGTCTACCTTGACTTTTCTCTTCTCCTCCCTCCTTTTATCCAACTGATCATTACATCCTGATGGATTCCCCTCCTATGCATTTCTCAAACCCACCCCCTCAACTCCACTCCACCACCGCTACCCTATCTCAAATGCATCTCCTCTTACCTGGACCAATATGGCAGTCTCCCAACTGGCTTCCCGGTTTCTAGACTTGGCCTGCTCCATTCTCTCTCCAGAGCTACCTGAATGATTCATATATAAAACACTAATCTGACCCAGTCCCTCTCTTGCTAAAGCCATTCTGAATGTACACGAGGAAATTCAACCTCCTCTGCTGTGCCTGCCTCTTGTCTGTCTCTTAAACCTCAGCTCCTAACACCTGTTACCTCCTAGTTTGACTCCAACTCTCAACAGACAGTAGTTCTCCGCAAACCTCTGTTCTCTCACTGTTCTCTTTGCTTCCTCTTTTACTAGCAAATACGTCTTACTTCAGCGTGTTAGGTTAGTATTATAAGGGAAGTTTCAAGTTCATTTTATATTAAATATTAGCGCCTTCATGCTTAGCGAGGGAGGGAAACGGAGAAAAAGCCCATAGCTAAATTCACATTTAAGTGGCGCTCTTTTCCAGCACAGCCAAAGATTGTACTGGGCCTGAGAAAATTGTGTGCCCTGTTTGATTCAAAGCTGTTAGAAAGCATGCCAAACATTTTAGGTTTTTACTCCCAGAGTTGTTGTAAACCCGGCAGAACCTGTCTGTTATGAAGAGTGCACTGCCCTCTAGAGGTTCCCATTGGGAGGAGCACATCAAATCCATAGTGTTAAGGCATTCTGCAGTTTCTTGTGAAGTGTTACTGCAGACCTTTACTATTACTGTTCTTTGTCACAAACATGCTTTTCGAGATATCTAATTCTGAGTCACACATTTTTAATTTACTTTGGGAATAGCATTTTGGGGTAAAGCACGTGATGGACCTCAAAACACTCAATTTGGAGTCAGGAGACATGACTTTTAGTTCCAGTTCTTCCTTTAATATCTGAGAACTTTAATTTCACGTCTGTTAATCATGTAGTAGAAGATCACACTTCAAAACTGTGAATCACTAGAAAGCATATTTTGGGAGTAAAACTGCGAAGAGTTTCATAAATTCAGTAAATATTTAATATGCAAGATCCTAGGATAAGAGCTGTTTTGCAGAAGTTAGGAGTTTACATTCGATCTTTACAATGTTAGATGAGAAGTTTTTTTAAAAAAGTCACTTGGGAAACATTCAGGCTTGCAATTTAAGTGGACGAATTTAACCCTGATGCCATGGAACCGTGAAGATGAAACTGAGCTAAAACAAAACAAAACTTACTTTGATTCCAAGAGTCTTCCAACATGAGAGTGGAAATGAGTCATAACCACACACACACACAAATGCGCGCGCACACACACACACACACACACACACACACTTTAATATGCCATTAAGCTCTGATGCAAACCCCATTTAGCCTGCTTTTTCCTTCCTATTTTCAATCAAGAAAGAAAAAAAGGAAGTCTTTCATTTAATGGTAAGAACCAACTATGGTCTTTATATATTTGCATAATAGTGACTAATTATAGGTAAAATTATATTTTACGTACTTTATTATCTTACCATGTCAATTGACATCCAACTTCATAGTATACTGAAGAAAGGAAAAAATACTAGGACACCATTTATGTTTGTAGTAACACTGGGAGTAAGATGCCGCAAAGCCCAGGACACAGTTCTGGGAAACACGATATCTGAATTCCTGTGATTCCATCCATGTTTGGAGGGATCTGGGGACACCAGGTGGATCTTCTGTAATGCAGGTAGCCACATCTGTGCACCATGGTGATGATGCTCACTTCTGTGGAGTTCAGTGTTGATGTCTTCTTTGGTATCTGCTTCCTCCAAGTTCAAAGCTGGCCTGCTGTGCTGGGAATCCAGCAACCTGAACCTTTTTCTTCATTACAGATCTAGTCAGCTTTTGACCTGGTTTCTGATATCAAATCAATCGTTTTACTTCTCTCTTCATTAGTTTACTGTCTGTGTCTTTACAAAGTCCTCTGGGCATTAGCAAAGACGTGAACCTAAGCGAATACCTCAAACATTTTGAACACATATAAAACATTAGTACTCGAAATTTTTCTTATGCTTCTACAGCTAAGAAAAACTTTTCATTTTTTATGTCTTAGCCTAGTCTACCCAGCATTCCTTGATGGAGGCAGAGCTAGGATGAAAGTCTCGAAATGAGAAATGAAAGGAGTAAATAGACTTGAGTTTACTAACAGTGTCCATGTTTTCATTCCTGAAAGTTATGACACAACAATTGTTAGACCATAATCATTAAGAAATTATTGGCATCATCTTCTCATAGGCCGAAACATTCAACTAATAAACAAAACACCAGACCTATTTTTATTCTACTCTCATATTTCAAATGCATTTATGCACTTCAAATTTCGGTTTCAAATGTTGTTAAGGTAAGACTCTGCATAGCTCTTTGACTTCTGACTTAATGCTAGATGCCACCTTATGCTGTTTTACTTCTGCTTTCTTCATGCTTTGCTTCATTCATTATCCTATTCTTTCCTTCCTTCTTCTTTGTAATCCTTGTTTATGTATTATTAGAACTTGTAAATTTCACTGGGTAGTGGTTACAATACAGGTAACTCATAAGGCCTAACAGGTATATTTAAATAATAGAAATATTGAACACTGAGTCTGGAGTGGGAAAAGCTGATCACATCACTTCTCCCCAAACAACATTGCTGTGAGATTTAGTCTAAAGAGATTCACTTTTCAACAAGTAGAAATGTGTTTTGTGGATAGCTTGCTGCTCGTTCCAAAGTATTTTATAATTCTCTTTCTGGAGGTAAACCCCTGGAAAGCGGGTGCTTGGTGAGCAATGGACACCCTGCCCGGAGGCCACAGGTTCTCGGAAATGCTGCAGAACATCCTGTTCCTGGGAGCCCTTTTGCCTGGTTGTTTGTGCTCTAGAGACTTGGCTTCTGGTGTTCTTGCTCAGACCTTTGGACTTTGGCAAGGCTACTTCTCATGTTTCTGTGTGCTCTGTGTGCCATTCTGGCTCTGTAGGTGGTTTGGCTTTTTGTGTTGTGACAGTGGAGGCTGCTTGGAGTGAGCTCCCAGGCACTGGCTCATGGGCACGCTGCTACATTTCAGTAACAGCAACAGAGCCTGCATTTGACTGGGAAATAATAACTATTACTGGAAGAAAAAAGTAGCAAAACATTATTTCCTAATATGTGCGAACATAATGAGGAGCCAGGTCTCCAGCTTTAAGGGTGATTATTATCGTTTTTGGCTATTGCCACTTACCAACGCTAAGTACTTTAGCTGTGTAACTTGATTTGAATAGCATCGCCAGAAGAGCACCATCAAAGCCTTTTGATAAGATGCTACCAAGAAAATATGATAATATATAACCCCAAGAAAATTATTTTATCATCTTGGTATATCTATAAAAATAGAACCAAATAAAAAAACAGTATAAATAATAAAAATCTTCCTCGCTGGGGTTTTGTGAAGGATACCAACTAGCACTCATGAAGTATTGTGAGTTTCCTGGAAGGAAGGCCTTTTGTAAGTTCAAGGTATTGCTATTCACTAGTCATTGGCCATAACATTGCACATGATAGATGGGAAATGGGAGAGTGGGAGAGTTAAGTAATTAAGCTAAAATCACCCAGTGAACTGGGGAAAACCCAAAAGTATAAAGAGATCTAAATCTGTTCATTGGAGGAATGCAGACATATCTGGACAAAGCCCCAGAGTTTAAGTGACAAGAACACCTAACAAAACTTGAAGTCCTAGGCATGTAGCCAAATAATACAAATATCCTTGTTAAATGCAGGTGTATCCACACCAGTCAGTCCTTGTCCTTGGAGGAGAGCTAAGGTGGGTCCTGCTGAGGACAGAGACTCTTCTGTTTGATTTGCAGGTATAGCCAGTAGTTGACCCTCTGAGCCCAACGCTGCAGAGAACACAGTGAACCTAGTAAACTGAGTGTGGCTGTCTCCCCAGGGCGGCTCTCTGAGAATTCCTCCTAGGTCCCTGATAGAGATAGGTAGATGGGTTATAGGCGGAAAGAGACAAAGTGCCTTGAACTCTGTGGGTTAGAATCCTGTCTTCAACTCCTAGACACTTAAAAAAAAAGTCTTGCCTGCACTCATGGCCTTTCAACCAGGAATGCATAACAGAAAGACTTTATGGTAATCAAATGGGAAAGACGGGGCAAGAGTTTTTAAGCAGTCAGTGTTAAGAGAAAAAAGGAAAGCCATGTCTGTGTTGTCTAACTCAAGGTTATATTTTGTAGCACCTAATGGCAACTATTAAACAAGGACGTACTCTTATCTAATTTGCGCTGTTGTCTTCCCAGGATCTGGAACATTTTCTGCAAGAGTCCACCTTTATCTCTAGAAGCCTCTGGCAAACAGTCCCTTTCAGCTCAGGTCCTTTTGTAGAAAGAACTTGATGCTGAAAGCAACTCGCCCCTTCTGCCCTCAGCCCCGCTCTCCCACCTACCCTCCCCACCGTGGTTAACTTGTTTTTCATCTTTGTTCTGAGTCGCTCTAGGCTGGTTCAATTTTTATTTCTGTTAACTTTTAATGAGTTAGTAATTCAATGATCCTGGCTTTGAATCTTTGGAACTGCAGGTTGTTAGTAAGGATTGAATCAGCTTGTTGGCTCCTAATGGACTCTGAAATTCAGTAACATTCACAGTGTGTTTGTTCATTCCGTTGACTGCCCAGTCCCAGTAGGAACAATGACCAACAGAGAAGAATCCAGGTAAATCCTCTTTGCTTGCCTAAGAGCTGTTGTTGTTCACTCCAGTTGTATAACCTCTTCTCATTGAAACATCACCTTTCAAAGGAGGAAGTTACTCCCCACTTTATCACTTAATTGACTTTATAAGGAAATTCCACATCTTCCTAACTAGACAGCATGTAAGATTTGCTCCAAGCTCTACACAGTATATGCTATGACCATTTTCCATTTGGAATTTAACTTACATTACAGCTGTAAGTCTATATGCCAAACATGATGCTCGTTACTAAATGAATGATAATGGACACAAATGAAATAGTCTGTAATTCATATTCAAAATCTGCCATTGCTATGTTTGTCTAAGGAAGCTTCAGTGAGTATACTTGAGATGCATATGAAATGAGGAAAACAATTAACAGAAATAGTCCAGTAGAGAAATTCTGATCCTAGGACTAATAAAACTAGATTTTCTTAAATTCAAATGCCTGTAAGATTATATGCAGATGGATAGTCTGTGTCCAGCACGTCAACAGTCATGATTCTCAGAGGGAATTATTTGCACTTTAATTGTTCTTAGCAATGGAGAGCTGTGTCTTCTTGTCTGCTTGTCATATAGAAAATATAACTTACCATACATTTAATTCAAGCTGTTATCTTTAAAAACGTTATTCTAGAAATCTTGATCACAATCTCCTTTCATTCCTGCCCACTCCCATCCCCCGCAACCTCCATCCCACCCCTCCACCCTGCTCTGTTTTGGTTTGTTGTTTTGGTTTTTACAAATCGATGTATAACTCATTAAGGCTCAAGATACTATGCTTGAAACCTGAAAGCCAGCATGAAGGTCAAATTAGAAATAACAATTTTCTTTTGAATTTGAAGTCTCATTAGTGTAAGTGCCAGGATAACAACCCACAGTCTTCTTAATATAGTGGCTCCCATTATATGCTGTATCCTTAAACCACCTCTATTATCACTTTCTGCGTGTTTTTCTTTCAAATGGTGCTTGTTTCACTTAAATAAACTTACGTTAGATTAAACTTTCAGATAATGACTTCAAGTAGAAAACCAGTATCTTCTGTCACAATAAATGATATCCAGGAAGAGAAATAATGGTGAAAACAAGAAAATATTATTGAATTCTAGCTAGAAACATGAGCCTACCAAGGCACTGGGCCTAAATCTTTCTCTCCTTTTGTTAAATGTTAAAGATGTGTTGAATACACTAATGGAGACTTTCTCTAGACATTATGATGAGTACAGGGAAGTTTGAAGAGAACTTTCTCACAGTGTGATTTAGCGGATTTAATACCTTCTCCCAACCAAAAATTACCTTTACCTTAGAAAACAATGCCTTGATAAAACCAACTCAAATCCCCTAAGTTTAACAAGTGTTGGTGGTAATGTACAACCCTCCATGTGAGACCAAGCTGAACCTATGGCTCTATTACCCAAGATTCTTCTTCCTCACTAATTCTCACTAATATATAGTGGCTGCCACCACCACCACCACGATGCCCCTGGACATTCTGGCTCAAGCAAATGCAGGCCTCCTTCCTTAATTCCTCTGGGAACACCTGGGAAGAGCCTGGACTTCATAGAGAAATAGGGTTATAAAAAGGAAATAAGCAGAAAAACCTAACTCATATGCTTTTTCGTTGTTGGTTAGGACTTTTTTGAGGCAATGGTTCTTCAACTTTTAGCATGTATTGAAATCAGCTGGGAGCTTGTTAAAACACTGAGTGCTGGGCCCACCCCCACACTTCCCAATTCTGCAGGGCTGAATTGGGGCCTGAGAATCTACATTTTGAAAAAGTGCCTAGGTGAGGCTGGGCCTGCTGATCTGGAAGCCACAATTGGAGAACCTCTGTCCTTAGGAGAACCTTTGCTGCCTGGCTTCTTCTGCTTACCTGCCTTTAAGCCAGGTCCATATTTCAGGTCTATTTGGAGACTTGTCAAGGGACCCTAATTATGAATGGAAAGGCAGCTAGTCCCATACATAAGATTGAATCGAATTCTCTCTTTTTCTTGCAAGCTAGCATAGATTGGCTCTTCCCTCATAGCTATCCATATGACTCCTTCTCATTCAGATCTCCCAACCATGTCTCCTCAATTCTAAGTGGTATATTTCTGACATTTTCACATCTCTGAAAATGGGATGTGTCTCACAATCATGCTGCAAACACCCTGAGCCTGCGGGAATTCTGTTGTACTTGTTCACAGTATCATTGCTTTCACTGAGTTATGTGCATTTTTGGTACTGCATAAGTTGATTTCATTGCCATTTAAAATGTCTTTAAAATTATGATGCTGTAATTGAGCATTGAGACAAAAAGTTATTGTGTATGAAGAAAGGCGTGGGAGTAGGGCAATGAAGCTTACATTTGGTATTGAAGGAAATATTTTGTTTCTAGAAGAATGATCACAATTTCATATTTTTAAAAAGAGCCATAATGGTTTTATTTTAAAACAGCAACATGTACAATACACCCATACACAGTTTGCAATTATTAGCATGATGTTGAAAGTCTTTAACCTCACTAAAAAAAAAAAGACATTTATAGATTTTTTAAATTCTTCTAGGCAGTACACAAGAGAAAAAATTTGAAGATCTCAGCTGTAGATTGCAATTTCCCAAGTGGATCTCACAATATGGGCACCTAGACAAAACAAATTCTTTAACCAAAGAGAGGAAAATGAGAAAGTAGCACAACTTATTGATTTTTAAATAAAACGATGTTAAATGTTTTCAGTTTAAAGTTTTGTTCTATATTCTGAAATTAAGGTACTTTCTACTTTTTTGTGGGGTTGGGAGGAGTTTAGTTTGAAATTAATGATGTTAATATATAATGTGCTTTTTTTTTTATTTCTACATTGCCTTTGAAAGCAACAACTATGTGCTTTATGGGGCCTGCATAAGGAGGCTACCTATATGTTGATGAAGCTGAGTTTCATTTTGCTACTGAGAAACACACAAAAGCATGGCATATAACTTTCTAAGCATTGCAGCTGAAAGCAGAAGAAATTGCCAGATCCTGCTAATTTATGAAGTGCATTTCAAAGCCACTGAACTTACATTTTAGGCACTGCAGCACAATTTAATTGGCATTATTTTTCTTAGTGGTCCAGAAAATAATGGTGTGAATACAAATGTTGCTGTCTTCAACTTGATCAAACACTGTATTTAAAATTGTACCTCTTCCTGCTGATCTACTTTATCCTGCTTTACTGCACTATATAATTCACCAATTTACTCTAAATTTACCATCAGTGTCCTTCAGCTGGAATATGAGCTCCATGAAGGCAAACATCTTTGTTTATTCATCCTAGGGTCAAGATAAACCAATGTTCAATGCATATGTGTTGAATGAATTAATGACTGAAGGAATTAGACTGTAACCCCTACCGGAATGTAATTTTACACTTACCCTTGTGACCTTGATAAAACTAATGGCCCTAACTTTGTCAGGCTGACAGCTTTACGGCAAATATACATTTTGGGTGTGTAGAAGACTGGCCAATGGACAATATCAAAGACTAATACCACAAGCCGTAAAGCAATAATGAAGAGTGACATGATAGTTTCTAGTGATGACTGCGTATGTATAGGAGGGAAGTGGGCATTGGGACGAGGAAGGAATCAAGGATTATTCTCTTACAGCCACACATATAGTCAAATGTGTGGAATGAATGGATGAGTAAATGCAATGTTTGTCAATTTCTTCAAATATGGTTTTTTTCTCTTGTACTAATAGTCATGTCTTTTAAGTGGTAATCTCATTACCTCTCCAAGACCAAGCAAGACATCAATTGAATGGTGTGAGAAGCAAATTCATGCATTAACTTAATCATGGAAGCCAGCAGTGGCTCATGTGCCATGCAAAGAACTCAGATTCAAAAGAATGAGAATCAGGTAGCAGGTCGAGTAAATATTCCCACAATCAGACCTTGACCTAGTGAGAAATTAAACATACTCTACTTTTCCTTTAGTCTTCATTTATTTTTGCGTAAGTTTGTGGGGATGTATTGGCTTAATTTGCTTCTGACAATTGTATTTCTTCTTGGGAAAAATGAAACAGGTGACTAATACCTACCAGGTGCACGGTAGGTAGGCAGAGGTGAATGGAAGCAGAGCCAACACATTTTCTGTGCCAAGTAAAATTCCCCAGGCTGAATTACATTTCAAATTTGTTTGCATTTGTTCTTTCATTATCACTTACACAAACAGAGCTGAAATACCAGATGGCTAAGTACAGAATATCATGATTTAATGACTTGTAGACACAAGGGGTCAGCATTTGAACACAGATGATTTGGTTAAAGTCTTGCCTGGTTCCCTTCTGCTGCTCTGTTCTGGCTTGATGTGCTTATCTGTATGAGGATAGAAAATTTGTATTTTGCAAATTGCTTTCTTTTCCAATTTAGAATTTTGAGATCTCTCTTTTAGATGGAATCAGTCTGTTGTCGTCATGGGTGATGATATCTAGCAATGAGTCTTACCAGTCTCGCTGGCCCCAATGGTTTCAGCAAACTTCAGTGACCTCCAGATATACGCTAATTTACCTCTTCTCAAAAAAACTCCTTAACTTGAAGAGTCCTTAATCTATGCTTGCTTAATAAAGGTATTGGGTGATACAATATTTTACGGATGCAAATCTGCCAAAAACAGGATACATGGTTAGAGAGATTGTTTCTTGATTCTGAGCTTAATCTGAGCTTTTGACATACATTAGGCTCCATTATAATTGCTCTATCGCTGATCTGTTCTTTCACTTGCTACTCCTAACTCAGTGCAAATCCATGCTACAGTATCTCTTAAGAACTATATAATTCCCATAATTAAAAATTATTACTTACAGTAAAACTCACTTTTTTGGGTGCACAGTTCCTTAGTTGGGTGTTACTGGCCCAGGATCTCATGAGGCTCCACTTGAGATATCAGCCAGAGCTGCTCTCCCATCTGAAGGCTAACTAAGGGAGAATCCACATTTGTTCGTGTGGCTATAGGTGGGATTCAGTTC